ATATGTCACGGGTAGCTTGCCAGGCTCTGCCGTGCGGGCGAGATACTCTCAGTAGCTTGCCGGGCTCTCCGAGAGGGGCGGAAGAATCGAACTCGGGTCGGCCATGTTGGTTGCGTGCAAAACAAACGCCCTACCCGCTGTGCTATCGCCCCTATTATATATAATTATATATAATATATATGTGTCTATATATATAGCCTTGGTGATATGTATTTATTACCTTGGGATATGTATATATATGTATACATACATATATATGTTCACACATATATGTATTATATACATATATATTTCAGTGAAATAATGGGCTTTATTTTGTTGTGCTTAGTTTCTTTAAAGTCATCTTATGATTTCTAGAATTCTCTTGATAATTCAGTTACAAATTAATATATGTAAATATGCTCATATGAGTAGAATGCCTAACTTTTCTTTGAGTTTTGTTTCATTATATTTTAATAAGTTTGTGGGTTTTGTTTGTTTTGAGAGGAGGCAAGTGTTCAAATGAACAATTCTGTAATTGTAAATTCAAGAATTAGCCTTATTGCCGAAATGGACACAGGGAAATGAAGTAATGAAATAATGTATAATAAACATAATACCATGAAAAAGTTGCTAGCCTTAAGCATTACATAGTGTTCTTTATACACTAATTAAATGCAGGTGATTTGTGGTAGCAAAAAGAACTACTAAAAACAAACCAAATAATCTTTACCTTATTTATTGCTGAAAAGATAGTTTAATCAGTTGAAATATTTGATATTTTCTTTTTCCAGTTGTGTATTACAAAATTCTCATTTAGTTACTATAACTGATTGAATTTATTAAACTTATTTTTTCTTTCAAACTCCTGTTTTCTTTTTCTTTTATTAGCTCACAATTTACACTTCACAATTTACTATGAAAACAGTAGAAGTAAATAGTAAAATTAAAGGGATGATCCTCAAATTAGTTAATTTTATTATCTATTAAATTCACTAGAAACTCGGTCTTTCTAGGTTTTTATGAGAATAGATAATGAGCAAACAAATTCTTTTCACAAAAGAAAACTATATACTTGAAGACATTTTTGTCTACAAAAGGAAAAGGGAAAGATCTAAAGGGGATCCATGGACTTGATCACCATCATTATCCTGGTTATCATATTGTACTGTCTCGTGAAGCCCTTGAGAAAATGTTGCCAATCATTTGGGAAACTGGATAAAGGGCACATGTTCACATGTTATCTCTTTGTGTTCTATCTTGTAAGGTCATGTGACTCTACAATTATTTCAAATTTGAGAGAATGCAGATGGTAGTATATTTACCTTGCACATGGCCAGCCCAGGTTTGATACCCAGCACCATGTAGGCCCTCCAAACCTTCCAAGAGTGATCCCTAGCACAGAGGCAAGAGATGGCCTGAGCACTGCTGGGTATGGACCCCAAACAACAAAAATACAATTATTTCAAATTCTTAATTTTGAATAAAAGGTCAGATAGGGGTCGGAAGACAGTACAGAGGTTAAGGCACTTGCCTTGCAGGCAGCTGACCCTCAGTTTGATCCCTGAAACTACATAAGATCCCACGAGCACTGTCAGGAATGATCCCTGCGCACGGAGCAAGGCAGAAGTACTGAGCACTTCTGGGTGCTCTGAGCTAAAAAAGAAAGAAAGAAAATAGGCAAATTTCAGTCTCTTGTAGTCAGTAAACAATAATTCTCTTATGATTTAAGTTCCCATTGTTTTATTACAAAGCACTGAAATGTGAGTTATAAAAAGTATAGGACTTTGCCAGGTATAGTGGCTTGTGCTGGCAGTTCCAGCTATGCTGAAGGCTGAGGGCAGACAATGGCTTGAGCCCAGGAGTTCTGGGCTGTGTGTTCTCTGCTGGTCAGCATCAAAATGGTGACCCTTGACTACCCCTGGGAACAGGGGATCACCCAGTTGTCTTAGGAAGGATCAACCAACTCAGATCAGGAAAAGGACTGAAACCTTAAAACAGAGCTAGAGCAATAGCACAGCAGGTAGGACATTTGCCTTGCACACAGCCAACCTGGGTTCGATTCCCAGCATCCCCTATGGTTCCCCGAGCACCACCAGGAGTAATTCCTGAGTACAGAGCCAGGAGCAACCCCTGAGCATCGCTGGGTGTAACCCAAAAAGAAAAAAAAACCATAAAACAGAATAAATGAAGAGTCTTCATCCTACATAGAATGAATTTAATAATATCCTTCGAGTCATATATATGTGCTGGGCTTTTTTTATCCAGAAGTACAATCAGCTAGGATGCAGGGAAGGCTAATCATGGATGAATTCTATACCTTTGTTTTCTGGAAGAATAGGGGTGGTATATTTAGTTAGACATTTATACTGAAAATCATTTCAGATATAGGATGCGACATTTGACAGCAGTTATAAAAGGAACCTGTGTTAGCCCTTCTCCCTAGTTTATTAATATCCTAAATATTGGCACATTGGGTCTTCCCAATATAATCTGACATTTTACTCAATAAACTATCCCATGAATATACTGTAAAACCTTTTCTGTTAATGGTATTCCCAACATTTTATAAACTTACACTGTGTGTGTTTTTTAACTATATATAATTGCATATGTCAACAATATTATTGAAGTTTTAGAATGACAAAGCAAAATCAATGGTAGATATTGAATTAAATGCATCATTAAAAAAGCTACTTCAGGGACTTACTGATATCTTACAGGATAAAATGGCATATATACTCAAAAGACTATTACAATCAAGAAGCTTAAATCATTCTGTGAAGTTTATTTTTAATAGAAAGACAATCTAACTTTGTTTTTGTTGCCCTACCAGGACTTTGATAAATTTCATAAAAATATCAAAGAACTAATCAGTAAGGGTATGACAGATTTGAGCAGTTTTGTTCACTTTCTGAATTGCAAATAGAGCTCCATAAATACTTAATGTTATTCAGGTTCTTCCTTTGGTTAGACTGTTGAACTATTAAACATTAATTTTCTTAACAATCGTGTCTGTCTATATACAGAAAATTCTATTTTACTTAAATATTTATTTATCATACATTGACTTCATCTGACTATATCTGTGTGTTTTATTTTATTCACACTCATTCACACGTATAGATCACCTCAATGCAGTCCCAAATCTTTGTGGAGGATTTTGTTTGATTGTTTTTTTTTGTTTGTTGGGGGAATGCCAGGAATTCCCGTTCAGTGAAGAATTAAGTTTGAGCTATTACTTGTCTCACCCTGAGGACCCAGGGACAGAGGGCTTCCAGGATGCACTGGTGATGCTCTGGGGTCTGTGTGGTTCTGAGGATGGAACTGGGGTCAGCCACATGCAATGAATATACCTAACCCTTATAGTATCACTCAGGCCCTATATTTTTTAAGTAAAAATTATAGATGTACTATAAATTATATATTTAAAAATAAATAAATTTTCTTGGGGCCAGTTCCTTGCACATGGCCAACCTGGGTTTCATTCCTGTCACCACCTGATCACCCAAGCTCCACCGGGAGCACAGAGCCAGGTGTAAGCCCTGAGCTCTGCCAGTGTGTCCCAAAATATGCACTTCAATATTCTGTAAGTTTAGTTGAGGAGAAAATTATCTTTTTCATTTATCCTAAGTAATTTTCCAAATTGGAGTAACTGCATTATTTGTGATAAATACAGTGTCTGTCAATATAAGCAGAGATATTATTAACTTTCAGAAATATAGGTGGAAAAAGTGAAAATGGAACACTTCTTAATATTTTGTGATAACCTAGAATACAGGGAATTATCTCATAGGTTATCATACTTCTAGAAGCAGAAGTTATTTATTTTTTAGTTTTTAAATTATTATATAGTTTCATAGGGCTGGAGTGATAGCACAGCGGTAGGGCGTTCGCCTTACAAGCGGCCAACATGGCTGACCCGAGTTCGATTCCTCCGCCCCTCTCGGAGAGCCCAGCAAGCTACCGAGAGTATTCGATATGCCAGACACAGTAACAACAAAGTCTCCAATGGAGATGTTACTGGGCCCGCTCGAGCAAATCGATGATCAACGGGAGGGCCTTTACCTTTACCTTTACCTTCATAACATTTCATCATATAATATTTCATCATACTGTACATTTTTTCTTTCAAAACTCAATTGCATATTTTTGAAATATTTTGAGTGCTCTGATGAAATGTATCTCATGATACCCACGGCAAGTTACAAAGACAAACACATTTTGGGGACTTATAAAATACTTTTCTTAATTGAAGTAACATTGGTGATAATATTGACTAGGTTAGAGATGTGTATCATCACAAATCAACATCTATATACACTGCATGTGTTCACCACTGAAAATTTAGTTTCCATCCTTCAGCATTCAGCTGACCCCTTAGACCCAAATTATTCCTGCCTGCCACCCTTTGTAGTGGCACTGTTCTATTCTCAGTATCTGCTTTTGTATTAGCCTGGGTATTGGTGGTGTTCTGTAGTCACAACATTCTTGTGGTCCTTTCTTTTTCAATAGAGAGCAAGTTCAAGGAAGTTATACTCCCATTGGTAGTTTGCAAGAAAACAAGTGTTATATAGAGTTCACACATTTGAAAGCCCCCCTCCCACTCTCATACCCCACCACCACCACCCTGTCATTGGTACTTTAAGAATGCTGAGTAGTATTTACACAGGATATTCCCCCGGGGGAGCTTGGGAAGACATAGATTCAGATGCAGGGGTCATGAGTCTCCCTCCAGGTGATTGCATGCTGCTGCTCTCCTGAGTTCTTCAAGCTAATGGTAAATGCAGAATCCGGGAGATACAGAGTGGAGGATAGAATCCAGTCAAGTCTCCTCGGGGTTCTTGGTTCTGTATTTAAAGTCTTAGGTAAATGGGCTGCAATTTCAAGGTCATTGATGTTTCTCATTGGTGTATTGTCCATTCTAATGCTCTCTCTCTCTCTCTCTTTCTCTCCCCTCTCCCCCTCCCTTCCTCACTCCCTCCCCCCATCTCTCTCCCTCTTTCTTTTTTTACAAACAGTTCTTTTGACAGCAAGTTTGTTTACCAGCAGAGAGGAATCGGACCAATAGAAGAAGACACTATCCTTGTGATAGATCCGAATACTGCAGCAGTTCTTCACTCCAGTGGGAAAAATCTGTGAGTTTAATGGCTTGCATTATTACCAAAGCTTGTACCACATGTAGCGTATCATTAGATCGGGTCTTAGATAAAGGATGTTGTACTGCTCTATGAAAAAAGCACAGTTTCAGAAAGATGAGTTGGCTTGTCCCATCTTTCAGTTTCTAAATAGAAAGTTCTAAATTCTGAATGTTAGAATCGCCTGAAAGCTTCACCAGTTAGATTCAGGGCCTGGCAATGTCACTCTAATCCAGTGGGTGCCTCAAATGAGGCCCTGGGTTCAGCCTCCAATACTGCAGGAACTGGAGGAAATATCTATTTATATTTATTCTGAGATAAGGCATGGGGTAAAATAGTATTTGAAAGCTCCCCAAGTGGTTTTAATAGGCAGTTAAGCCAGAAAGCCACTGATAAACATAGTTAATGAAATGAGTTGCTGGTCAGATCTGACCAAAAAAAGTAAAGTCTTCAGTTGAGAAGTTTCATAATTAAACTCATCAAGCAATCAGCCATAAAGATTTTCCCATTTCAAAATAAAAACTAAACAAATGTCATTTTTCTGCTTTTCTTAGCAGGTAATTTGGCCTTGAAAGCTGCTCATTATTTAGTCATCTTCCTAGATGGCACTTGGCAGCCAAAAAAAAAGTTGACCAATATTCATGATCATTGAAATAAAGAGACACCTGCTTGCAAAGTATCCTCAACCTAGTTAATGTGCCAGTTTCATAAACTCCACCCTACTCCCATCTGCTTGGGCACAGGGATAGTCAGCTTCTTTGAAAGGCAAGGAACCATCCTTTTGGAATAAAGCTATTCATGGAATTAGTAATAGTTTTACACACATATAAGATAATATAAATATACATATATGTATATATATGTATACACATATATATACATATATATGTATGTATTTCCACATTGAGGATGAAAAGTCCAAATTCTAATACCAGGTTACTGCCTGCTGTGTTTGAACACACTTCTTTGTTGCTGTGTTCATTGATCAGGAGCATTCTCTTTCCACAAAGGTGAGGAAACTGCTCCTGAATGAATGTGTATGATGTCTGTGTCTAAGCCACATCGTAACTCGGTAGCCAAAACAGAGACTTAGTTCAGTTCATTTTTCAAAATGACAGTGTCACAATCATGGATCATGAAGAATGTCTGTGGTTGCAAAGGTTAGAAGCAAAACAAACAAAAAGTATGTCTTATGGATTGTCAGAATGGCCGTTGGCCACATCAGATTAAGATATTCTCCAGATGTTTGTTAATGCTAAAAGACTTCTATAAGCTTGTAAGCCTCTATCTACACTAGTTTAGATAGAATTCTCCTCCACAGGCCATCTCAGTTGATTTGTTAGAAAGCAATCTTCTCTGATGGTCATACAACAAACCATTTATTTTAATGAACAGAGCCTATAAAGTCATTGGGTGTGGGAAGGGATTCTGTTTGAATAGACACTCTGCAAGTTGTTTAGTCATATTTAATATTTTATGTTACTATATCATATGACTCGAAGTATATTTAAACTATAAAAATTTATTTATACAGTTGACTCTTGAACACAAAGGGGTTATTGATACCTACCCACTCAAAATCAAAAGTCCACCAATAACTTTGGAAACCCCCAAAACTTCACTATAGTCATGCTGAGAACCCCCCCCCCCCCCACTGCTACCCACCCAGTGAATACTGAAGCATCAGCTGCTGAGATCCCTTCCAGCCTGATCCACTGTCTTTATCATCAGGTTCCACTTCAGGGATTCAGTTTCTTGCCATTCACAGCTGGTTGAACCTGTGAATGCAAAATCTGCCCACGTTAAAAAGTGTTTACCTCGAAGAAAGCTTGATGAGTTCAAAGTTGTGTTATTCAAGGGTCAACTGAATTTCTCCAGATGACTTGTTTCATCTACATTTCTAATATGTTAATATGAACGAGATTATTTTAAGACTCAGTTTGTTTTGTTTATATCTGATTCCCAGTATCAAATATAAGCAGAGCCTTAGAATTAGTTTTTAAATTGATATGATTTGTGTTGTTCACTCTCGCATGCCATGCTCTTAATAAATGTTTATATTACACACATATATACATATATATGTATTTATGAGTTTAAGATTAGTCACAGGAGGTTTGTTTTAACACGTATTTTTATTTGACAATTCATTTGGTGTTTTCTCTGGTCATCCAGGTGTGCATTTGCTAATCTATGAATTTATGCTGCCTTTATATGATGCATTAGTTTAAAAAAGTATGCTCATGTGTGCTTTGTAAATCCATTTACAGTTAAAATGATCCTTTTTATTTTGCAGGTTTTATTTGCCACATGGCCTGAGTATTGATAAAGACGGGTATTACTGGGTCACAGACGTGGCCCTGCATCAGGTAATCGGTCTCTTGGCAGTTACTCAAATAGAAGCTAACTTTGTCATCTCTATATGCTCTGGTGATACGTGGGTTTTTTCCCTGGAATCCAAAAAGTTTATAAAAATAAACTGCAACCGCCCCATTGGAAATGTATAGAAATGGTCAAAATCGCTCTTGTCCATAGGGCTGACTGGAAGCTGAGAGCCAGAAGTGAAGTGTCACTATCAAGTCCTTGGGGACTCCCAGACAGCCTTCCCTCTCCAGTGGCCACTATTGCTTTATTTTCTCCTGTCCCGAGCTCTTAATTACATTTTGTCATTTGTGTTTGATGTTTTCTTTCCTAAGTGACCTCAGTCCTCTGTGAGTCGGGAAAAGGTTACCACATATAGTTTGTTCCCTTTGTCAAATAAGTTCTATGTAAGTGTAGAATAATCATTAGGATCTTTAAAAAGATAAGTTTTGGTAGTAAACAAGTAATGGGGGGGAGCACCCAATTCTCACAAGACATGGTTGCGAAGAATCTTCAGCCATGGTGGTGGAAAACATCTATTGCTTATGCATTATTCGGGAAACATCTATTGCTTATGCATTATTCGGGAAAAATCAGGAGGGTGAGTGCAATAGAATGTCCATGTACCTATTCATCTCTATCCACCACACTGTAAATTAATCTCCAGAAACCTCACTGATCAAGTACATATACCTGTCCTGGTGATCTTATCCATCAAATGCTAAAATTTTCATTCCTTTAACCAAGTCTCTGGGAATATCTACTTTTATCCCCTTGGAAAATGTCCTTAAGTAGTCTTGTAAGTGTTGTGTCCATATGAACCATGCCCGGTGGGTAAAGCCTTTACTCTAACGTTTGTCAAAGGTCTTCAAGCTGGACCCAAACAGTCAAGGCGGGCCTCTGTTAATCCTGGGGAGGAGCATGCAGCCAGGAAATGATCAGAATCACTTCTGTCAACCCACCGACGTGGCTATAGATCCAGACACCGGCGCTGTCTATGTAGCGGATGGTTACTGCAACAGTCGCATTGTGCAGTTTTCACCCTATGGGAAGTTTGTCACACAGTGGGGAGAAGGTACTTGATAAGTCTCTTGAATGTTTTAACCAGTGTCAGTAACCCAAAGAGGACTAAAGTCATAAATGAAAATCCATTGCATTTTCCTCAGGATATTATTGTCCTCTACAGCAAGAATAGGGCTCCTATGTGCATACAGTTGGCTTGTACACACTATACAAGTAGACACTGACACAGTGTACACACACACACACACACACACACACACACACACACACATGCACACCTTGAAAGTAAAGGAATGCTTTTACCAGAAAATCTTGTTCAAAAATATAAGAAAAATCTGTAATGTTTTTGTATGAAAGATATTGTGGAACAAGCCAAAAAAATAAAACACTGACAGGGAAGTTGATATTGATGGTGCGATTGGTGTTGAAATATTATATGCCTAAAACTTAACTATCAATGACTTTGTAAGTCACAGTTCTTTAAATAGAAAATATATGTGTATAGGGGACGGAACATTAGTGCAGCAGGTAAAGCATTTGCCTTGCATGCAGCTGACCTGAGTTTAATCATCAGCATCCCATATGGTCTCCCAAGCACCACCAAGAGTAAATTCTGACTTCAGAGCAGGAGTAACCCCTGAGCATTGCCGGGTGACCCAAAAATCAAATGTGTGTTTGTATGTGTATGTATATTTTAAGGGGGCCAAAGAGTACAGTGAGTAAGATATTACATATAGTCCCCCAAGCCACACCAGGAGTAATCTCTGATCACAGAACCCAGAGTACTGCCAGGATTGGACCAAAAACCCAAAGAGGACTAAAGTCATAAATGGCTTTACCTGTTTTTCCCTTGATTCCAAATATGTAATGGCTTTTGATCACACATTTGGAATATAGAAAACTCTAGAGTCGGCCCTTGGATGACTTTACAAACTGTCCCCTGGGTTTTCTTTGTTCTGCAGCATCTTCAGGGAGCCATCCTGAACCAGGTCAATTCTACGTCCCTCACAGCTTGGCCCTTGTGGCCCATTTGGGCCTGTTATGTGTGGCAGACAGGGAAAATGGTCGGATCCAGTGTTTTAAAACCGACACCAAAGAATTTGTGCGTGAGATTAAGCACCCATCATTTGGAAGAAATGTATTTGCAATTTCATATATACCAGGTATTTGATCTTTAATTTTGTATTTTGGCATGCCATATCCTTAAGTATTTTTTGTTTCATCTTACATGCTCTTTTTCTACACTTTTTCTTGTTAAAGGATTAAAAAGTCTCATATCAGGTTTGAAAATATTTTAAGACTTTGTGCATTGTAAATCATTTTAAATTAAGTGCCACTTCTTCATGCAGAAATAATGACCTCACATGATTTAACAATTGTTCATAATGGGTTAAAAATAATCCCCAAGCATTGATTTTGATTTTTTCTGAATTATGATCATCTGCTCTCATTATGGTGATTAATATCTCTCTTAATACAGCAACAGATGGTATCTATCTCACAAAGTCAGTATTCAAAATGTTTTCTATTTCATTTTTTTATGAGGATGGGACTTATTTTAGGTAAATATGTATATAAGTGGGGCTTATTACTAAATGTTAGGATTAACCAATAAAACTAACATTTATAGTCCCTTGGTTTGGAGAAAATAGGTAATACAAATCTAAAAATATCAAAGCAAAACTAATGTATAAAACAAGACTCATTAAAGTAAGGTTACAAAATGATTTGCTTTTAAGTAACGAATATTGAACAATTAAAAATAGATTTCTAAGGTGTATATATAGTTTTTGCAATATATTTTTTACTATATGTAGGCTACATTAATGTAGTATTTATCACTATGGACAGTATTGCAATGTTTATATTTCTTAGGCTTTTAAAGTTGCCTATGGCTACTGCCTTCCCAAACAATATCCAGTTATTTTGAGTATGAAGTAAAGCAACTCAAGTAATGATAAGAACAGTTTGACTTAATCACAGAATAAGCAATAAATAGATAATAGAAGATTCCCATTAATGTCAGTGAAAAAGAAATTCTTGTGTTGGTTTATTTTGTATAAACATTACTAAGAAATATTTTACTATATACAGCACAGCGGTAGGGCATTTGCCTTACAGGCAGTCAACATGGCCAACCCAAGTTCGATTCCTCCACCTGTCTCGGAGAGCCCGGCAAGCTACCGAGAGTATCTCGCCCGCACGGCAGAGCCTGGCAAGCTACCGGTGACGTATTCAATATGCCAAACACAGTAACAACAAGTCTCATGATGGAGACGTTACTGGGCCCGCTCGAGCAAATCGATGAACAATGAGAGGACCGTGACTGTGATACAGTATTCCTGGAATTAACATAAAGAACATATTCTAATCTCTCTAATTCAGATAATATGTCCTTGACAATTTGATATAGGCATCTCATATTTTCTTTTTTTCTTTTTTTAAAATTTTTATTAGTGCAACACCATGAGGTAAAGTTGTAGGCTTACAAATTTTTGTGCTTGGGTTTCAGTTATACAATGATCGAGTACCCATCCCTCCACCAGTGCCCATGCTCCACCACCACTGATCCCAGTATCCCTCCCACCCCCATCAACCCCCCCCCCCCCCCCGTTCCACCCTGTCTCTATGGAAGGGCATTCCCTTTTGTTCTCTCTCTCCTTTTGGGTGCTGTGGTTTGCAAGAGAGGCATTGAGTGGCAATCATGTTCGGTCTATAGTCTACTTTCAGCATGCATCTCCCATCCTGGGAAGATCCTCCCAACACCCTTTATTTGGTGCTTCCTTCTCTATCTGAGCTGCCTTTTCCCCTAGCAAGTGTGGCTGGCCTCCAAGCCATGGAGTAAACCTCCTGGTACTTATCTCAGCTATTCTTGGGTGTTAGTCTCCTATTCTGTTACTTTATGTTCCCCAGATGAATGCAGTTTTTCTATATCTGTCCCTCTTTCTGACTCATTTCGCTTAGCAGGAACCTCATATTTTCAAACGTAAAAATTAGAATGAATTTCTTACCTTTGTCGTAACTTCACTTTCTTTGCATATTTCTCTTTGATTCTCCTTAGAGCAGTAGCAGATTATATATATATATATATATATATATATATATATATATATATATATATATATCACTGTAGCACTGTCCTCCCATTGTTCATCGATTTGCTAGAGCAGGCATCAGTAATGTCTCACAACAAATTGTGATACTTGTTGTTACTGTTTTTGGCATATTGAATATGTCACGGGAGCTTGCCAGGCTTTGCAGTGAGGGCAAGATACTCTCGGTAGTTTACCAAGTTCTCCGAGAGGGGCGGAGGAATCAAACCCAGTTTGGCTATGTCGCCCCTGTGCAAGGCAAACGCCTTACCCCCTGTGCTATCACTCCAGCCCTATATATACACACACGTTTATCTTTAAATATCTGATATCCTAAAATGATTTTTAAATCAGAAACATGGCTCTTCCCAAAACTTATTTAGGATGCCTGTGAAATAGAGTCTGTCTATTCTTATTCTATGTACCATCTCCCTTCACTCCTATACCTATGTCTTTGTATATTTATATAGTCCTGGTTTCAGCTTGCTTTCTAAGTCTAATAGACCTTGATGTTCCAGACTCTTTTATTACAAGAATATTATTCCCCTAAACTGTCTGCCCCTGATCTTACCACTCATTAAGAGATATATGCTACAAGTATTTTTTCCTCCTTTTGTTGCCAGTTATAGAGACCAGCTTGACCTTACATTTATTGCTTGTGTAACATTCAGGCATATATTGGGAGGCCATTCCTGTCCATGTTTTAAGAAAGAATAACTGGATTTATTGTCACAGGTTTGCTTTTTGCCGTGAATGGGAAACCTTACTTTGGGGACCATGAACCTGTACAAGGATTTGTGATGAACTTTTCCAGTGGGGAAATCGTAGATGTCTTCAAACCACTGCGCAAGGTATGCCCATCCTTTTTGCCTAGGTACCAATTTTCTTTTTTTTTTTTTGTATTTATTTATTTATTTATTTATCTATTTTTTCCCCCTTTATTTTATCTTTTTTTTTTACAGTTGTAGATTTACAATTTTTTGTGCTTGGGTTTCAATTATACAATGATCAGATACCCATCCCTCCACCAGTGCCCATTTTTCACCACCATGGATAATATCCCTCCCACCCCCATCCCCCCATCCCCCCCGTCTCTGTGGCAGGGCAATCCCCTGTGTTCTCTCTCTCCTTTTGGGTGTTGTGGTCTGCAAAAGAGGCATTGAGTGGCAAACATGTTCAGTCCATAGTCTACTTTCGACATGCATCTCCCCTCCTGGGAGGATCCTCCAAATATCCTTTATTTGGTGCTCCCTTCTCTATCTGAACTGCCCTTTCCTCTAGGATACCCGGCTGGCCTCTAAGTTATGGAGTAATCCTCCTGGTGCTGATCTCAGCTATTCTTGGGTCTTAATCTCATACTTTGTTACTTTATATCCCCCAGATGAATGCAATCTTTCTATGTCTATCCCTCTCTTTCTGACTCATTTCGCTTAGCATGATACTTTCCATATTGTACCACTTGTATGTAAATTTCATGACTTCATCTTTTCTAACAGCTACATAGTACTCCATTGTGTAGATTAGGTACCAATTTTCTTGAACATCAGACTAAAACACAAATCTCAGAATTCAGTCTGTGTCTGAATAATTTTTGTTTTTTAATTTTAAGATTTGATGATCTCCTTAGCTGGGCTGATACATGTTTAAATGCAAATCAGTAACTTTTATTTAAAGTTACTAACTTTATTTAAAATAAATATCCTGTCTGTTTCTAGACTGTTTTACTTAGATACAAATTAGCAGTGTGTGCATTTCTAAAGTTCTTAGTAGACTCCTGCATATAATAGCAGATTCAAATTCATAATCAGTGATCATTATTTAAAAGTCTTCCTGATTTCACTCAAGAAGAATAACAATATGTTTAACTATACTTATCTAGTTCTTTCAGATCCAACAGAAATCTTACCACTTTTTTTTTAATTCTTTGACTACATTAAGCAGCAAAACTTGAAAATAGCACCTTGTGGAATTTATTTAAATGCTAAGGCAGGATAAAAAACTAACAACGGATTTTGACTTCACAAATAGATTAATGTTGCTTATCTTTACAGTGCTTTTCACAGATACATTGACTGTGGATCAGGGGGCCAGAGAAATAGTACAGGGACAAGACAAGTGATCCCTGGCACCCCACACAATTCCCTGAGTGATTCTTAAGCACAAAGCCAGGAGTAAGTCCTGAGCTCTTTAGGATGTGAACAATGACAACAAAATAATAGTGACTGTGGACAAATATGCACAGAATATACTTGTGCTACATAAACTTTAGAAAATTCAGCCTGCGGAAATGCTTGCAAATACTGTCACTGTCACTGTCACTGTCCTCCCGTTGTTCATCGATTTTCTCGAGCGGGCCCAGTAATGTCTCCAGTGTGAGACTTTGTTGTTACTGTGTTTGGCATAGCAAATACATCACAGGTAGCTTGCCAGGCTTTGCTGTGTGGGCGAGATACTCTCAGTAGCTTGCCAGGCTCTCCGAGAAGGGCGGAGGAATCAAATTTGGGTCGGCCATGTTCGAATTCGAATTCGGGTCAGCTGCATGCAAGGCAAACGCCCTACCCGCTGTGCTATCACTCCAGCCCCTTGCAAATACATTACTTTTAAAATACATTACTTCATTGTATAACTGAAACCCAAGCACAAAATTTGTAAGCCTATAACTGTACCTCATGGTTTTTCACTAATAAAAAAAGAAAAAAAAAAGAAAAAAAAAAAAGAAAAGAAAATACATTACTTTTAAAAAATCTTAAGATTCACTGCCATTACTTGAATCAAGATACAGTAGTCACATATCACTGGATAAAGTTTATCTCCACACTCTAAAAGTATTCTTTAGGATACAAAATACTAGATTTTTTTTTAAATTTTAGGTGTGATTTACAGAGCTGTTCATAACAAAATTTTAGGGACTCAGTGTTCCAAATCCAAATCCATCACCAGTGTGAATGTCTGTATACTTTTTTATTTGTAGGAGTACTGCTATTTATTCAGCCACTGATTAGCTGATTGAATTGTGCATGAACTCCACCTTACTTTTTTTTTCCATTTTTTTATAATTTTATTTATTGAATCACCGTGAGAGCAGTTACAAAGCTTTTGGGTCTGAGTCTCAGTCATACAATGAAACACTCGTACCTTCACCAGTGCCCATTCTCCACCACCAAAAATCCCAGTATACCCCCAATCCCACACCCTCCCCCTGCCTGTGGGGCAGATGATTTCTACATTACTCTCTCTCTACTTTGATCACATTCACTATTTCGACACCAGACCCACCATTATTTGAGAATTTACCCCAATACTCAGATCTGCTGAAAAGGCAACAATAGACAATTTGTGTTCTATTGCTGGTTATGAATAACATATGATGTCATGTGGCTGCAGTAGAGCCATGTGGTTTTGAAATTCCGAAATTTTAACACTTAAATCTGGAGGGATTTCTGCCGAAAGCCACTGGGTTTAGAGATTTGTTTCTGAGTCTCTGGGATCAAGGCCGTTGAGCAGCTTGATGAGGAGCCAGAGAGGCGGTTCGTGGGCGATGACTTGGGGTCTCGTTGGGGTGCGGAGGACAGGCCCGGCTCCCCCCCCCCCCCACATCCCGTGAGGCCCAACAAGTTTTGTCACTGCAGGCCCAAGCCTGACTGTCCAATGGCCTCTGGAGGATGACAGCCACCAAGTCGCCAAGAGGGAGCAGGCGGAGGGACAGCACCCATTCCCCCCTGGGGTGGCCCGGCGACAGTAACCTACTGCGGGGTCCGGACACATTTCTGCCAAAAGCCGCTGGGTTTCGAGATTTGTTTCTGAGTCTCTGGGATCAAGGCCATTGAGCAGCTTGATGAAGAGCCAGAGAGGCCGTTCGTGGGCGATGACTTGGGATCTCGTTGGGGTGGGGAGGACAGGCCCGGCTCCCTCCCCCCCCATCCCGTGAGGCCCAACAAGTTTCGTCACTGCGGGCCCAAGCCTGACTGTACAATGGCCTCTGGAGGATGACAGCCACCAAGTCGCCAAGAGGGAGCAGGTGGAGGGACAACACCCTTTCCTCCCTGGGGTGGCCTGGTGACAGTAACGTACTGTGGAGTCTGGATGCATTTCTGCCAAAAGTCACTGGGTTTTGAGATTTGTTTCTGAGTCTCTGGGATCATGGCCATTAAGCAGCTTGATCAGGAGCCAGAGAGGCCATTCGTGGGCCATGACTTGGGGTCTTGTTGGGGTGGGGAGGACAAGCCCGGCTCCACCCCCATCCCGTGAGGCCCTGTGTGTCTCATCACTGGGGGCCCAAATGTGACTATCCAGTGGCCTCAGACGGATGGCGGCCACTGGGCCGCCAGAGGGAACATCCAAGGCACGAAACCTATTCCCACCTGGGTTGGCCCAGCACCAGTAGCCTACTGCAGAGACCAGACGCATTTCTACCTAAAGCCACTGGGTTCTGAGATTTGTTTCTGAGTCTCTGGGATCATGGCCGTTAAGCAGCTTGATCAGGAGCCAGAGAGGCTGTTTGTGGGCGATGACTTGGGTCTCGTTGGGGTGGGGAGGACAAGCCCAGCTCCACCCCCATCCCATGAGGCCATGTGTGTCTCGTCACTGGGGGCCCAAATGTGACTATCCAGTGGCCTCAGACGGATGGCGGCCACTGGGCCAACGGGGGGAACAGGCCAAGGCATGAACCTGGGTTGGCCCAGCACTGGTAGCCTACTGCATAGACCAGACGCATTTCTACCTAAAGCCACTGGGTTCTGAGATTCGTTTCTGAGTCTCTGGGATCATGTCCATTAAGCAGTTCAATCAGGAACCAAAGAGGCCTTGCCTCCAATTATATAGCTGAGCCGGAGGTGGTTTGTGGGTGTGTTTCCCACATACCTAACTTTTGGCCATTTACTTTCTTGGTAAACTTTGTCCCAAGTTTTTGGGGTCTGGCCAAAGGCACAGCAGCAATTTTGGGGTATCTGGAAGTCTGAAGGCGCCATGAGGCTGCTGATGCACTCGCCTCACAGGTACAGATTGACCTGCTGGTGGCACCATACCCCCTAGATACCTTTTTTAACTTCAAAATGCCTCAATGTTTTAGAAATTTTTGTTAGAATATGCCTGTTAGTCTCCTACCTATCAAAATTCACTCTAGAAATCTGACATACCTGCTGTGTCAGGCTAGAAATTAAGAATATAAAGGTGAACAAAACAGGACACAATTTCTCCTTCAAATGGAGTTTGGGGAAATGTTACACGATTTGGACTGGAGCAATAGTACAGAGGCAAGGGCACTTGCCTTGTACACAGCTGACTCAGGTTCCATTCTTAACATCCCATAAGGTTCCCCGAGCCCACCAAGCTGACCCCTAAGTGCAGAGCCAGCAGTGAGCCCTGAGCACTGTTGGATAAGGCCCCTAAACAAAAGAAAGTAAGCAAACGAACAGAAGTAACAGAATCTGAGTTGAAAATCCGAACTATAGATCTCCGCGCTTTCCTTTGGGGGAGCGGAGGGACTTCTATTTGTTTACCACAAATAGGACTTTACACTGAAGCATTTAATCTGCAAGGAAACAGGCAAAGATCAAATCATAGCAATTCTTCAGAAAGAATATTGATAACATCTTCAGAAAGAATACATTGATAACTTAATGGTGTTTCAGATTAATTTGTTTGTCGTTATTGGCTCTTTATAGTTGTTGTTGTTGTTGTTGTTGTTGTTGTTGTTTTTCCATTTGGGGGCCTTAAATGGTGTTTCACATTTGTTGTTTTTTTTGATGGGGGTGGGGGCACACTCAGTAGTGCTCAGATCTCACGTCCTGGTCCTGTGCTCAGGGAACTGTATGTGGTGCAAATTAAAGAAGTAGGGTCAGTCTTGTGTGAAGCAAACAACCCCTGTACTATCTCTCCATCCTGTTTCAGATTCTTATTGATTATCTAACTGTTATAGTTTAGCCCCTTTACTGGAAGTTCCTCATTTCTACTGAAATGAAGAAAGGTAAATACTTAACTTTCTTTCAGGTCTCAACTTTTAGTACAGTGTTGGTCTTTATTTAATGATAATATTCTGTGTTAATCAGGATATTAACTTTTATTTCAAACATATAATTAGAGATCAGAAATAGGGCCAGGGTTATAGTTCAGTGGTAGAGTACTTACTTGCCTTCCACGTTTGATCCCCTGGGTTCAATCCCCAGCACCACCAAAAAAATAACTAAATAAATAGAATAAAAAAGATAAATAGAACTCAAAACCTAGTGCTAAGCAATTGTCAAAATTCTAAATGAGCCATATGCTCATAAAACTGAACAGTTCTGAATTAAAATTTCATAAAGCATCATATCTAAACATCAACATTCATCAGATGTTGGCAATGAATGAGTCATAGTGTGGGTCAGAACAGCAACCTGGAAAAGAACTCTATCTCCCAGGTGAAATTTGCTTTCCCTTTCAATAAACAAGACTTGATACTGCACCAAAACATAAAAATGTGCAGTGTTGACTCAGTGAACTGAAATGAATTTATGAATCTCCAAGAATTTCCATTTAATTAAGCAATCATTGCACAGATTGAGTTTGTTAGGGGAAGGAATACTTTGCTAATCGTTCCTATTTAAGAAGAGACTCTTCAAGTAAGAAGTTTGACATCAACACTCGTGCCTCTCTCCATACTGTGCATTCAAAACTTCGGCTATTTTAGTTCTGCTACTTCTTTTACATTCCCTAGAAATGTTTGTGTATGAATGTCTGCGCTACCGGGAAGCTGAGAGAGTAGGACAAGATAGCTCTATCAAATGGATGGTGTCAAAAAGCTATGCAAGCACATGCCACAGCTTTGCCCTTCAAATTCTTCTCCCCATAGTAGAAGGAGACACTACAGTCCTTACCATCTGCTTACACACACACACACACACACACACACACACACACACACACGTGCACGCATGCACACACAAACACACACACACACACGCACACGCACACATGCACCCACACTCCAACTGGCTTTCTTGGAGATTTCACTGAGATTTTCCCAGAGTGATGTTATCATATTTTAAATTTTGCTAGAGAGGAATACCTTAAAAGGAAAGTTAATCAGGCTTGATTAACAGATCTTTCGATCCATTCAACTCTGAATCCTAAAGCTTAATCCTGAAGCTAACAACACAGTTTTCTGCTTCAAATTCAAATTCAAAGTCGCAGAATAGTTCATCAACCAGTCACAGTTCTGTGTATCTAATTGCAATAGGAACAGGGACCCTGGATTTACCTCACCCCCCAAAAAACGCTTCTTCCTGAACCCCTCCAAAGGGCACCAGAGTATTCCAGCAGCACCTTTGGTTCTCTGAACCATTTTGAGAACCACAGACAGAGATTTGTTGTTACTGTATCCTTGAATCAAAAACAGTGACTTCTGTGACGCCAAGCCCCTCACACATCCCCCACGCCTCTTTTTCTCCCACCTATTTTAATATTTGTCAGAAAACATGAAGTGCTTTGCAGCCATATGTTCTGCAGAGCAGGTGCTAGGAACATATTTTAAGCTAGAACAGGAACTGCCTGTAATGTGCAAGTCTGTTACCACCCATTAGCTGAACCGAAAATAAAGGCAGTCGTTCCATGACAAGCCTGCACAATTTCAAAACGGCAACATCTTGATTTCAGCCTCTCTGGTCCTCATCATGCACATTTGTCACAGCTCATTTGATGCTATGAAGGAACAAGCCGCCTTGGCACACCATCTCCTCTTTTCTCTTCAGTTGGCACAAACTGTTGCTGACGTCCAAAGCGCAGCGCTATCTCCAGAGCATGTGCTCGGCTTCTAAAGTGAACCAGAACAGTGGTTTGCTGATTAGTGCCCTTTGTACTCTGCAAAGCCCAAGTGGGCCGATGCCAGCTGATAAGCCCGTGGCAGGGATAATGCTCCCCGCTTTATTCTCACTGCTCTTGTTTTCGAGAACCGTCTGTCCGGACAGCTGGCCTCAAAGGTGAAAAAAATCACCCACAGCCAGCCAGATGGCGCTTTGCAGGGGACAGATAGAAATGGCAGACAGAGCATTTGAAAGCTGCCCTTCCAAGAATGAGCTGAGTGATCCCCAGAAAGTCACAGAGGTGTTCCTTGATCTTCCTGTAAAGAAGAGTGACGAGGCTTTGGTGACACGCAGGAAGGCCTTGGAAGTGGTGTTGCATTTGTTTGCTTTGCTGATTGCCAATATCAGTCACTCTGGGCCTCAGAATAGAAAAGGCTTGCTGTGCCTGTCTCCACCTGCATCTCAGAGTTCCAGCTTACCTGGATTTTGGCAAGGAGATTTTGTGTCAGTATGTGTGCACATCTCTCTTAAAGAGCACCAGGTAGGCTAGTGAATAACAAACATCAGCCACCGATCATTTTTGACTTGTCTCCATCAAAATAGGCAAGTTTTTTTTTTGGTTGGTTGTTTCTTTGTGTTTGGATTTTGTCCCATACCCAGTGATGCTTAGGGGTTACTCTGGCTCTGTATGCTTAGGGGTTACTCTGTACTTTGGGGTCATTCCAAAGGGACTTGGGGGACTAGAGAGGGCCTGGTATTAAACCTAAAGGCCCACATGCAAGGCAAGTGCCCTACCCATTGTACTGTCTCTTCGTCCCCCAAAGAGGCAGATTTTGATAGTGATGAAAATGTAGAATGGGCTGGAGTAATAGCATAGCAGGTAGGGCGTTTGCCTTGCACAAGACCAGCCCGGGCTTGATACCCAGCATCCCATATGGCCCCCCGAGCACTGCCAGGAATAATTCCTGAATGCAGAGCCAGGAATAACCCCTGTGCATCGCCGGGTGAGGCCCCCACCCAAAAGAAAGCAGAAAAAGAATTGTAGAAAAGGGCCCAAAATGTGCACAGTAAAGCATATGATTTTCGGGGGAATTTGTCTCTGTTCCCAGCACTGCAAAAATAAACAATCAAGTAGTTGAAAAAACAAAGATGTTCCTTGTGTGCTGGCAAATGGGTCCGTGATAGAGTGCCTGCCCTACATGATTGGAGACCTGGGCTTGAGCCCAAGCACTACAAAAAAACAAAGGCTGTTTCGGAGTGATAGTGCAGCAGGTAAGGTGCTTGCCTTGTGCACCCAGGCCTAATTCACAGCACTGCATATGCCCCGCCCTCCACCCCACCAGGACTATCCCTGGCACACTGCCGGGAATAAGCCCTGAGCACAGTCACATGTGGCCGCCGAACAAACTAACAAAAAGTAGAACCATGAGAAAAGACAAATCTGTATAGAATGATAGGTCATGCAAATGCGAGTAAATAAATACAATCTGGTAGGTACTGACCTCTAGAAGATGTGAAGGTCAGTGGGGAGGCTGCATCAGCATTTCTCGAGCCGTGGAATATTGTCTGGCAGGGTCTGTGCCCAGCAGGCGAAGGATTCATTCTCTTGGCCCTAGAGGGTTGCTTTTGATTTTTCCTTTGCGTGAATTCTTGGAATCATGAAATTTGCTGCAACTTGGGTGGAACTGGAGGATAGCATGTTAAGTCAGAAGAAGAAAAAAATACAGGATACTTTCACTTATATGTGATATGTAGAATAACAGGGTGAGGACATGCAAGGCAACAAGTTGGGGAAACGTAGTCCAGAGTAATAGTATACCAGGTAAGGTGCTTGCCTTACATGCAGCCGACCCAAGTTCGATCCCTGGAGCCCCTTATGGTCCCCCAAGCACTGCCAGGAGTGGCCTCTGAGCACAGAGGCAGGAGTAAGCACTGAGCACCGCTGGGTGTGCCCCACCCAGAAAAAAAATGGGTGATACCTAGGTCACCCTGAGCTGTAGATTACAGAAATGGAGTGTCAGGAAAGGAAGACACTGAAGGTGGATGAGAGGTCACAGGGAGGGGTAGGGGACTCGGCACATCGGTGGTATAAGGGTAAGGGCGATGTGTAGATCTAAAACATAGAGCCAACAGCACTGAAAGTCTGAGACCCGACTACAGCAAGCAAACTGGAGAATGTCTGTGGAGAAGGCAGGCTGGGGCAGGAGGGAGCCTGGAGGCGCTGAGGGAAGGCAGCCCGCACTGGAGACAGGACTGGGCTTGGACTGTCGTGTGCCTAAAACTACTATAAACAGTGTTGGAAACCACCATGGTGACTTAACTAAAAAAAAAAAAAAAAAATAGTGATTTTTTTTTTTTTCTGTGAGGCCTGTGTGGATTGTTTTGCTCTGTTCTCTGCAGGCTTTTCTTTGTAGCACTCACGCATGCTTCTTATCCCCGCAGCACTTTGACATGCCTCACGACATTGTTGCCTCGGAAGATGGGACCGTGTATGTCGGTGACGCTCACACCAACACTGTGTGGAAATTTACCTCGACTGAAAGTATGTTTTTTACCGCCGGTTTAGCCACCACTTCCCTCTCTTACTGTGTAAAGATATGAATGCAATGGAAACTCCCTTCCTTTCTTTCTCTCTTTTACTAGGAGTGGAAAATCCAGGCTTGACTAGTTGGCTGTGTGAGCCCTACGTGGTATTTATTTTAAGGACGAAATTAATTTTTAAAAAGTGAAGAGAAACATGTTTTATTTTGCTGGCTGGCAGCGAGACCTATGTTTCCACAGATATCCTGCAGGAAATTCTTGGTGCCTGAAGTAATGTCTGTTCTATTGAAAGTCAGTGTTCCTTCCAGCTTAGTTCCAGAGGGAGGATGGGGCTCGATGAGCAGGCCAGGGGAGACTGTCCTGTTGCCCGTGTGACTTTTTAGCTTTCAGTCACTGCAGAGCACCTCAGAATTCCAGCATTTCTTAGACATGGAGACCCCAAATAGGAAGCACAAAGCTTTACGCCTTTCTGATTGAGTTTGCGCAAAATACTCAACTGTTGTTTTCATACGACTCAAGTATTTTCCGGGTATAGAAAGGGGTGTGTGTGTGTGTGTGTGTGTGTGTGTGTGTGTGTGTGTGTTTGTATGTTGGTGTGTGTGTATGTGTGTGAGTATAGTATGTATGTGTATAGTATGTGTGTGTGTGTGTGTGTGTGTATCAAGCAAGGTAGTTTGGGATTTTTTAATTGCAAAGTAAAGATTGTTTCTGACTCTTAAAAAATCCTCACTTCTCCTGCCGTAATAAAGTGTCTATTTTCGAAATAAAGACCACAAGATGCTTAGTAGACCGCAAACATCAATGTCTAAGATGCTTTCAAATATGGCAGTATTTAGCTACTGATGAATGGATGGATAGACAAGATATGTGTATACATACACACCACACACACACACACACACACACACACACTGGAAAATGACTTAGCCATAAGGAGAAATGAAGCCTTGACATTTGTTGCATTATGCAGGGACCTGGACGGTATTATGCTTGATGAAACAAGTCAGACATAGAAAAACAAATAGGGTGTGATTATAGTTATATCTAAAATCTAAAAAGCAAAATTAGCCAGCAAACAAAATAAACTCATAAATACAGAGATAAATGTATTGTTGCCACAGGAGAAGGTGGCGGGAGATGGCAAAGTAGATAAAAGATCAAGAAGGAAAGATTTTACTTGTAAAATGAGAAAAACCTTGGGATAGAACACAGATCATGCGGCCTGTGATCAATAATATTTTCAAACAAGCTCAGCTGATGTAGTGGTGATTGTTGTGCAGCAGTGCGAGATGCTGATGTTGGTAAACTCTATGACAATAAATGGCTAAAACCATGAACTTCATTGCTAGTAAAATAACCATAGTAAATATAGGAGGACCCAAACAATGGAGGAAGATGGGGCCGAGGAAAGAAATTTACGATGTCAAATTTATAGTATTAGAAGCAACAAGAGGCAGTTTTATGTTAAAAAAAATCTTATATGTGAACTTGATTTTGACCTGAAGTAGATGAGAAATCCCATCATAAAAAGAAAAGTGCCAATTAGATAAAGGTGTAAGTACAAATTAGCCAAAAGGAAAGTAAGATAGGGTTTCAGAGCCAAGGGGTTGTGGTCATTTGTTGTCTGCAGAATCATCCTTTGCCTACACTTAACTATTTTGTCCTGGGACCCACTTAGAGTTGCAAAAGGTGTCCAAGAACTGTTCTACTCCAGTGTTTGCTTCACGTTTTGTGATGAGGGTCTTCCAACCCTCAACTCTCCAAACAGGAACCAGACCTTGGGGCAGAGCAAAACTGAGAGACTCGGACAATTCCCAACTATGTGACTACATTCAGGCTTTTCAAAATACAAAGGAATAAATAGCTTTCAAGATTGAAAAGACTCCAGAGATACAACCAATATCTTTATCTTACAAAGAGGAATTTTATTTTTTTTATTGTTTTGGTTTCCTTGGGGCATTGGGTTTTGGACTATAACCGGCTGTGCTGAGGACTTACTCCTGTCTTTGCGCTCAAGGGTCACTCTTGGAGAGCTCAGGCCACTAGGCTGGGTGCCAGGGATTGAATCCAGGTTAACCCATATAGAGTAAAAACCAAGCCACTGAACAATTTCTCTGGACCCAGAGAAATTGACTCTTGAACTAATAAAGATGTTAGATTCAAGTTCTTTACATCAGTTTTCTCAACTGTGAGCCCCATGACCCTGCTGAGTAGGAGACCTCAGCATGAGAAATACGGGCCAGTCAATGGGACAAGGGGGCCACAGGAAGGAAACAAGATGATAAAAAAAAAAAAGGGTGAGGAACACTGCTTTATACCAACCTTAGTGGTTGGCACACAACAGAATGAATCCAAATTCAAATCACCCATGTAAGCTTTTTAAAATGAATATGATTAGAACTCCACTCAAGATATACAGGGTGGCAGGGGTGGGGGTAAGCATGATTTTATTTATCTTTAAATTTTTATTAGTGGAACACCATGAGGTACAGTTGTAGACTTACAAATTTTTGTGCTTGGGTTTCAGTTATACAATGATCGAGTACCCATCCCTCCACCAGTGCCCATTCTCCACCACCACTAATCCCAGTATCCCTCCCACCCCTCCATCCCTCCATCCCACCCTGCCTTTGCAGCAAGGCACTCCCTTTTGTTCTCTCTCTCCTTTTGGGTGTTGTGGTTTTCAATAGAGGTATTGATTGGCAATCATATTCGGTCTGTAGTCTACTTTCAGCATGCATCTCCCATCCTGGGCAGATCCTTGGTGTTCCTTTCCCTATATGAGGTGCCTTTTCCCCCAGCATGTGTAGCTGGCCTCCAAGCCATGGAGCGCACTTCCTGGTACTTATCTCAACTGTTCTTGGGTGTTAGCCTCCTATTCTGTTGCTTTATATTCCCCAGATGAATACAATCTTTCTATGTATGTTCCTCACTTTCTGACTCACTTAACTTAGCATGATACTTTCCATGTAGAACCACTTGTATGCAAATTTCATGACTTCATCTTTTCTAACACCTGCATAGTATTCCATTGTGTAGATGTACCAAAGTTTCTTTAACCAGTCATCTGTTCTCAGGAACTCGGGTTTTTTTCCAGATTCTGGCTGTTGTAAACAGTGCTGCAATGAAAAACAAGTGCAGATGTCACTTCGACCAAACTCTTTTGCATCTCTGGGATATATTCCCTGGAGTGGTATTGCTGGATCAAATGAGAACTCAATTTCTAATTTTTTTTTTTTTTCCCCCTTTATTTTATTTTATTTTTTTTAAGGTTGTAGATTTACAATTTTTTGTGCTTTGGTTTCAATTATACAATGATCAGATACCCATCCCTCCACCAGTGCCCATTTTCCACCACCATGGATAATATCCCTCCCACCCCCATCCCCCCATCCCCCCGTCTCTGTGGCAGGGCAATCCCCTGTGTTCTCTCTCTCCTTTTGGGTGTTGTGGTCTGCAAAAGAGGCATTGAGTGGCAAACATGTTCAGTCCATAGTCTACTTTCGACATGCATCTCCCCTCCTGGGAGGATCCTCCAAACATCCTTTATTTGGTGCTCCCTTCTCTATCTGAATAGCCCTTTCCTCTAGGATACCCGGCTGGCCTCTAAGTTATGGAGTAATCCTCCTGGTGCTGATCTCAGCTATTCTTGGGTATTAATCTCATACTTTGTTACTTTATATCCCCCAGATGAATGCAATCTTTCTATGTCTATCCCTCTCTTTCTGACTCATTTCACTTAGCATGATACTTTCCATATTGTACCACTTGTATGTAAATTTCATGACTTCATCTTTTCTAAGAGCTACATAGTACTCCATTGTGTAGATGTACCAAAGTTTCTTTAACCAGTCATCTGTTCTTGGGCATTCAGGTTTCTTCCAGTTTCTGGCTATTGTAAAGAGGGCTGCAATGAACAAACAAGTGCAGATGTCACTTCGACTATACATTTTTGCCTCTCTGGGATATATTCCCAGGAGTGGTATTGCTGGGTCAAATGGGAGCTCAATTTCTAATTTTTTGAGAATCGTCCATACTGTTTTCCAGAAGGGCTGAACCAGTGGACATTCCCACCAACAGTGAAGGAGTGTCCCTTTCTCGCCACATCCACGCCAGCATCGGTTGCTTTTGTTCTTTTGAATTTGGGCCAGTCTCTGAGGTGTGAGATGGTATCTCATTGTGGTTTTGATCTGCATCTCCCTGATGATTAATGATGTAGAGCATTTTCTCATGTGCTTTTTTGCCATTCGGATTTCTTCTTTGAGAAAGTTTCTGTTCATTTCATTGCCCCATTTTTGGATGGGATTGGATGTTTTCTTCTTGTGGAGTTTAACCAGTATTTTGTATATCCTGGATATCAACCCCTTGTCAGATGTGTATTCGGTGAATATCCTTTCCCATTCTGTAGACTGTCTTTGTATTTTGGTCACTGTTTCTTTGGAGGTGCAGAAGCTTCTTAGTTTAAGATAGTCCCATTTATCTATCTCTGTTTTCACTTGCTCGGCCAGTGGCGTGGCATCTTTGAAGATACCATTAGCTTCAATGTCATGGAGGGTTTTGCCAACTTTATCTTCAATGTACCTTATGGTTTCTGGTCTGATGTTGAGGTCTTTAATCCATTTTGATCTTACTTTTGTACATGGTGTTAGGCAGAGTTCTGAGCCTATTTTTTTGCATGTAGCCGTCCAGTGATGCCAACACAATTTATTAAAGAGGCTTTCCTTACTCCACTTCACATTACTTGCACCTTTATCAAAGATTAGATGAGCATATGATTGAGGAGAGATGTCAGTGTATTCAACCCTGTTCCATTGGTCTGCAGTTCTGCCTTTGTTCCAGTACCATGCTGTTTTAATTATTACTGCTTTGTAGTACAGTTTGAAGTTCGGGAGGTTGATTCCTCCCATTTTCTTTTTCCCAAGAATTGCTTTAGCTATTCGTGGGGGCTTATTGTTCCATATAAATTTCAAGAGTGTTTGCTCCATTTCTTTGAAGAATGTC